ATTGGGGAAAATTGGATTTGTTCAGTCCATGTCTGTAATCTTTTCTCCCATATGCCCATACTTAGAGTCTAATACAATTCTTCAAGGACAGGCAGCTGTCCCAGATTGGCATGCAGCTTCCAAGCCCCTTGTTATAGCCCTCAAAACCCATTTTAGCTAGGATTGTTAAAAAAAACCTAGTACTAAGAGAATTGATATACTATTTAAACAAGAGTTCTTGCAGGTTATGGTGCAATGTGCATAAAAACAAATAGGTGGAGCTTCAGTTGCACTGTTGTGGCCTAAAACAGGGATATCAAAAAATGCAAAGATATAAAACAGTGGCATCACATTTAGACAACAAAGGGAGCTATTCTAATAACTTCAAATTCCCACATGCAGGATGCTGACCTACCAACTTCATATACATTTATGTCTTTTTACACATACAATCTCACCACCTCATCTCTCTTTTTCTCTATTGAGTATTAAGTTGCAGATCACCTGCTGCTGTTACTATTAGCACATGGACATTAGCAGTCTTGTTTCATGCATCAACAGATCAGCTGCCTTGTATGAAGGTAAAAGATTCCGTCAAGTCAAGCTTGCCTTCCTCTGAGTTCAGGAAAATTTCAAGCTTCTTGGCAAAAATATGAAAGTGATTTGCAATTGCCCTCTGATTTTTCAAATCAATAATCCAGGGACTCTCCTGGTGGTCTCCCATTCAAGTAATATCCACACCAAACCTTCCTTAGCTTCTAAGCCCAGACAGCATTGGCCAGATTCTTTTGTCACACATCTTATAAATCAGCTTTGTATAGAATTTATTAATACTTTTAAACACATTTATGTTTAATTATTGGGTGCTATAAGTGCCTCCCTGGAGTAAAAAGGTGGATATAAATCAAAATAAAAGCAAATAAGCTTGCGCCAGAGTGTGCTTTGATTGGTTGTGACACAATAATGTAACAACTAAACCTTACTTCCCTTCCTCCCCCCACACATACATTGTTGTAAATTAACATTTCTCAATTAAACTTTGCTCCAGAGCAAAGCAGATTTGCCCAGACTTAAACAAAGGCTTATTTGGCAAGCTATTAGACATTTGTTTTAACTTGTTTACTTGTAGACTTATAGTCTCTTCAGCAACATTTCCATACAACTCTGGCAACTATGTTTTCCTCCATAGTTTCTAAATTCAGATGGGAAGGTGAGAACTGAATAACAAACAGGCCCAGAATATGTTAACTGAAATAATACTGTATGGCATGCTAAGAGGGTTTGAATAAGGGAAGCTTTTGGTTACCCAAATATAACTTATTATGAGAAATTATAAGTGATAGAGACATTTTGAACACTGATGGGAAATTAAAATTAATTGAACAAATGGAGATTAAGTGCAAATGCAATTAGGATATATTTTGGTTAGAAAAGATATTTGAAACCGACATTATTGATATTAGGAAAATGTAACAAAGATATTGATATTCAATTGTATATGTATTAACAATAAGAATTGTATTTGCCTAATGTGGGAAAATGTGTACTACTGGAAGAAGAGAGTAAGCATTGGATGGTGTAATATTGGGCCTAGATTGAAGAACTTAATATGTATCACTGAATTAACTAATGGATCCAGGACAACACGTTGTTTATTAAGTACTTATGATTTTAAAACTAGAAAATTAATAAAATATTTATATTAAAAAATACTGTATGGTACATTTACTTTTATAACTGAACAGACTGTGGGTTTTGTCAACGTAGTTGATATTGACAAGGTATTCTTTGAATTCTTGTACAAAACTGCAGCTGTTGAGTCTGGCTAATTCCTTGGCAGCTCTTCTTCCTGGACTAGAACTTTAAAACTGTAAGGCAGAGGAAATAATATCGGTCTTTCCCAACCTGGCAAGTTTCAGATGTAGGAGGACCAACATTCCTGCAAGTATATAAAAACTGTAAATAAAGAAATTGGCAGTGTCGATTAGGAACAATGAAGTCCAAGCAGTGTTTCTCAACCTTGGCAACTTTCAGATGTGTGGATTTCAACTCCTAGAATTCCCCAATCAGTCTTCTCCCTGGCTGGGGAAGTCTGGGTGTTGAAGACCACACACATTAAAATTGCCAAGGTTTAGAAACACTGTTCCAACACCTTTAGAAGCCATAGGGCCTTTAATAAATATGTTGGCAACATTAAGATGCATGGAATTCAACCCCCAGAATTCCACAGCCAGCTAGGAGTTAAAGTCCACACATTTTAAAGTTGTCAAAGTTGAGAACATGCCATAGGCAGAAAAACATTAAGATAAACCTGACTATAATTTAGTGGCCATTGGGTAGAAAACCCAGATTTGCAAGATTGGCTGAAGCTTTAAAAGACTATTGTATACCCCTAATCCAATTGCATAACAAAGAAAGTCCAAACTCAATCCTTTGTATAATGTGATTATATCGGAATAAAAGTATTGACCATGAATTTCTGTTGCTTATTACTCACATCTACACTGCGAGATTTTTATTCAATAGTTGTATATTATTTATATACATATACATAGAATTTATATTTTGCGGCTCTTATAATTTATTGATTCAAAGAAAAAGATTTATTTTTCTTTGGACTATTCACTAATAGTCTTCCATTGCCTTTTAAAAATCTATTTTTTACTACTATTCTGGATGCGGAACTCTGGCGAACCAGGCAAATTATACCTTTTGCTTTGATTGCCTTGATAGAACACTCTATCACTTTATGACAAAATCATCTACCGCAAAAGAAGATACTTTGAGTGCAATTGGGACACAGATAAACAGTAGAACAGCAAATAGACATATTTTAAATTGAATTATAGCTAGTAATCCAAAGCAAATGTCAAATGAGTGTTCTGAAAATACTTTAATTGGCATTTATTTTAATTGGTATCTAGAGAAAAGCTATGCTCTTCTTAAATACTTCAAATGGAGAGCGGTGTAGTGATGTCAGTGAATCTGGACTGCATCCAAGATTACTGTAGCTCAATTGTAATCAAGTTAAGACCTGCTGCAAGGGTCCAGCGTCATTCTTTCTTACCACAAAGTGTGCAGAGAGAGGGGGGAGCAGGGTGAAATTAGAGGTTTCAAGTATTATTGCATTCAGAGGCATTATCAAGAGCAATATGAACAAAAGTGCCCAGAACCGTGTTTGGCAGGAAACAAAGGAACTGATTGGCGTAGTGCAGAAATCCTAACCAGATCTTTCCATTGCACCCTCTACCAGTTGTGCTAGGAAAAAAACAACAACCAACCAACCAACCAGCTTTCTCAGCAATAGGCAAAATAATTGGTTATGCACATTAAAGAGGCATCATAAACCATTCCAGGACAAAGGACACAGAAGACTCCATTTTTAATATATAAAGTCTACCATGTTTATTCAATAGAGACACATTAAAGACAACCCCTGAAAACCAGGAACACAACTTCAACACTCCGTTAAGAAGTGTACATATGTGTATATATATAAATATGCGTAAAAGCACTTATACACACATACCTAGTCCACAACTGCTTCTGCTAAACTGGGAGTGTGTGTGCACGCATACAGATATATACACACATTTTATTGTTTTTATTTTTAAAAGCTTGTGATTAGCTACCTTCTGCGAAAAGAGTTCTTCATCCACAATCTGATAACGTTCAGTTGAAGCCAGCTGCTTTCCAGGTTTTAGATTCGTATTTATTTTTTTTAAAAAAAATGGCTTCATATAGATTGTATTTCTAGTGTGTGTTTTTTTTTTTAAAAAAAACCAAACAACTATGAATGCCCCAAAGGAGAAGAAATTACAGAGGGGAGGGTGCAGACAGGGGTCTTCAGAAATGGAATTTTCCTCTTCAGCTAATCAGAAACAGCGGCAAGAATTTATTTCCTTCTTTGGGGACATATTGACTTGCCATGACATACAGGAATTCAACAAGCAAATCCCGGGGCTCTCTTCTGGCTGGAGAAAATCTCCCCCTCCTTCCCTCCCCCCCGGACAAATTACCCGGGTAGTTTTCCTAGAAAGCTTACTGAAATATGACCCCCCCTTTCTGAAAAATCCAGCTTGTAAGGAGAGGAGGAGCTTTTGGAAAGAAGCGGGGGTGGGGTGAGGAGAGGAGAGGAGAGGGAAGCTTGGACCAACGTGTTCGTCCTCAGGAGACTCCCAGCCGTTACAAAACACCCAGGGTTTGCCCACAGCCCAGTCAAAACAAGCAGGGATAGGGTTACAGTACCGTGGCCACCTGCCTGGGGAACACAGCAAGACACCAAAACACGGGGCGGGGGGGCAGAAAACGGGGTGACCTTCGCGAGAAAGATGGAGAAGGGAAGGGCATGGTGATCCAAAGCGTATTATATTTGTGTCCAGCAGCGTCTATGGCGTCCACCCCTCCTCCCCCTTCCGATCGTACGCGGACAGGTCTTTACTCTTCAATAGCCCATAGGATTTCACACTGGACAATGCCAGGCGGGATGGTCCCTTCTTGGCGCTTCCACACCGAGGGCAGAGAGCGAGAGAGGTAGGGTTTCGGCGCCCGGGTGGGAGGCGCCAACTCCAGCACCGAAGGCGGATCCGGATCGTCGGGCAGGGGGACAGACAAGGGACGGGACCGGGACTGATGAACGGCCGGGCGGGAGGCTAAAGAGCAACCGTCCGGGGCCGCAATAGCACCTCTGTTTTTTGTTTGTTTTATCGTTTCCCCGAAAGGGAAACAGGAGCAGCCCGTCAAGTGGCTCAAGAGTCATGAAAAGCGACCGAGAATCATCGCTGAAAGTCCGGGCAAAGCCCCCGCGAGGGTCTGCTTCAAGTATCTGGCGCGGCTTGAACGATCCGCCTCTGGGCTCTGCCGTCGCGCCCGCTCGCCGGCGCTTCGGCCACTCTCTCCGCGCGTTAACGGGATCAGGCAAGCCAAATAGACGCGGTCTCTTCCCCACGGCGCCGTCCCGTAGCTTCTTCCCTTGGCGGGCGGCGGTCCGAGGGCCAGGCTGCGTCCCGGCGGGGCTAGGGCTAGGGCAGGGCTTGCAAAGAGGCGACGGCGAACGCTGCGCCCGCGTCTCCGTCGCTGCTATTGCAGCGGCAGCAGCTCCCGGCGGACGAAACGGAGCCAGGGGAGCCCGTGGTGGAAGAAGTCTCGGCCGCCGTCGAGGCCGCCAACTGCAACCTCCGCACCGCCTCCTTGATGAGGTTGCCGGAGAGGATGAGCTGCTGCAGGAGGCGGTGAGGGTCGCCATCCTCGTCGTCGCCCGCAGGCAGCAGCGAGCGGTAGCGGTGGTGGCGACGGGGCTGCTTCCTCCCAGCCCGAGCTGAGCTCCGCAACCAGCCCCGGCCGCACAGTTGCTTGGAGATCCGCGGACTACCCTTCTGGTCCGCAGTGGGCGGCGGAGGTGGGGGCGGCGGCGGCCAAAGGAGCAAAGACGGCGACTGGCGCGGGTGGGACGGCGGGTGGCGATGGTGTAGCGAGGCTAAGAAGCCGAGACCTCTCGGGGACGAGTAGGGAGCCGCTCGGTCCCGGCCGTGGTGCCTCGGGAGGAGGCGGGGTGCCGCCGGCGTCCGGTGCTGAGAGCTCAACTGCAGCACCTCTCCCAGCTTGGCTACCAAGGCGTCCACTTCTTTGGAGCAGCTGCCGGCCGTCCCGGCACCGCTCTGTAAAGACACGGCGGCGCGCTCCAGGAGTAGGAAGCGTTCTCCGCCCGGCCGCCGGCAAGGCATAGCCGCTGGTCTCCTGCCTGCCTTCCCCTTCGCTTGGCACGCGTCGCTGTTTCTGGGGGCCCCGCAGCGACGGCGCTCGTAACTGCCAAGCGAGCCCTCTCTCGCACGCTCCCTGCCTTCTCCAACGCTGTTGTTGGTGCTGCGGTTGGTTTGTAAACAATGGATGACGCGCGCCGGGCGCATCCAACCGCTCCGACCGAAAGAGGGGGGGTCTAAGATCTCAAGGGGTTTTACGTTGCCCGAAAACTGTGGCTGTTCCTTCCGGCGCAGAGTCCTCCGTTGTACGTCGAGTATCCCACGGGAATATGAGAGTGCGAAAACCGTGAAAAGGGAGATTAGTTAAAACTAATCTTCCTCTACACCTTTCTCTCCTCCCCTGTATATAAGAGTCTGCCGTTCCGGTGGACTCGCCTGCTATTTTAATGTCGGCGGCCGGGGAGTGTGGGCCGGGCCTCTGTGACCGAAAGCAGGGGGCGGGGCAAGAGTGGCGTCATGATCCTGGATTGGAGCCAGCGAAGGTCAGCATGGCAACACACGTACATACACACACACAGCGCCTGCATGCATTGTAAAGATACGATCTAAGGCAGGAGGGACGGACGGCTCGTTTGCAGCATATTTGCAGCATATTTGCCCTGGAATACACTAATTTATTCCACTGGGGTTTTACTCCCAAGTAAAAGTGCAGAAGACTTGAATTACTACTAGAGCTGGGGGGGGGGGGACTTAGTAAAAAGACTAAGGTCATGTAAATCTGATTCCACTCCTCAGAAGTGTTCTGTTCCATTCTGTAAATTCAGAGGACATATTTACATTTTTTCCCCTTTCTTTGATAATCTAGTATAGACTGTTCTTCAGGGTTGTCTTGACATGTTTACAGTTCCTTTTATGGCAGTTGTTTCCACTCTTCCATCTTGTAAGTTATTTATATTTCAGTTGCCAAACAATTCCCAGCTTTCCATTCGATTATGACATGTCCTCCTCCTATAAGCACAAGCTGTCTTCCTATCTACTGTTGTATTGGTTTGTGTGGGTGTCTATGCATTTATAGTTCTTTTAAGAATAGAGCCAGAATTAATCAGAATTAGCAAAGGTGTTATATCACCACAGGTAAGGTCATTTTATATATTCAGATTCTTTGGAAAAAAGGAGTCTAAAAAGTTAAGAAAAAAATGTGTTCAGGACATACATATATAAAAAGAAATTTTTAAAAAAGCATTTATTGCCAAGCAATGGTCAGAATGTAGATTGTTGCAACTCATCCTTGTGCCCAAATAGCCAAGGAAAAAAGAGCAATTATAAAATTGGTAAGAGTTCTCTTTGCTTCCCCCTTTTTATCAGAAAGAGACTAGCTTCCTTGAAATGAAATAACTTCCTTGAGCCCAAGAGCAAGATGATTGGACGAGGGAAGAGTTCATCCAGTGTGCAGAAGGGTGTTTATGGGTCAAAAAGTCAAGATGGCAATCATAACTATATGACTGAACCCTGGCCTTACAACATACATAGAAAGAAGGCATGGCTTTGATTTTGTAACTACAGCTGTCTTGACTTTTTTGACCGTCTCCCCCTCCGAATCCTGCTAGTGTCCACAAGCTCCAGTCCTACAAATAAAAAAATCAAGCTTTGCTCTGGTTTCAAATATAATGAAAAAAAAGCTTAAAAGAAAGTCCCAAAGGTACTTTCTATCAAAAAGCAACTGGGCTTTCTTGTTTTGTTAGAAGACATTTTGCTTCTCAACCAAGAAGCTTTCTTCAGTTCTGACTGGTGGAGAATGGAAGGATTCATGCGATCATTAGCCCTCTTTCTGAGAGCTATTAAAGCCACTTGAACGTTTAGGTGTGCCTTCAGGGTCACTTGACTCCTGTAGTCTGCAGTATTTTCTCCTGGAAATCCTTTCATACTCCTGCACCATTTGAAGGGTGTTCATCCCAAATGGCATAGCTAAATTCCCATGGAGATTCTCAGTCATCCGGGTCTTGGTTGTGTCAAAGATACTTTCTCCATAGACACTTAAAAGGAGACAATCAGCTTCTCAAAACAAGCCAATGTCATCTAACAGACAAGTCCAGATATGCTTTCGATGTGGACTAATTTTGAAACAGGTTAGGGTTAATTTACATTTGCTGAGAGTATGACTACCTGAGTAGGCAAGTCTCTTCTGGTGGTGCAGAATGAGTCATCTTAAATTCAGGTCACTTTCAGGAGAATGAAATATTATAAATGCACTGTTATTATATATCTCATTTGCCAGAAAAGATAATATGTGATCAGTGTTCCAACCTATTTATTTTTTTGCATTTTATTAAAAAGCTTTATGGTTCTTCTCACTGCAATCACAGAGGGATGAAAGAAAATGCCTGCCTTCTACCCTGGGCTGATTCTTAGCTCTAATAAGAAGTGAACGTTATGGGAGTTAAAATTCAAAATTTCAGCAGGTCATCAGGGCGAGGAAGGCTAATGTACTTGGTAAGATGGTTGCACAAAATAAAGCCATTTAGGGCATTGTTTTCTCATTTTTTTTGCAATTGGCAAGTCTGTTACACATGGCCTTAGCAAGGAAGCAAGATGGAATTTACCAGAATACATAGGAAACAAAGAGCCTGCAATCATTTACTTCCTTAAACATCCTGCTTGCCAAAGCATTTAAGGTTGCTACGTGACAACAAAGAACTGCCAACTGCATAGGTACAGAATCTAAACACAGTATTCTTAATCTTACTTTTCACTAAACACAGTTTCAATACTTCAGACGGTATTTATTATTTATATAAGAAATGACACTAAGAAGAAATTTCTTATCCTGCTGTTTTTTGCTATTTTATGGATGCTTTATTTAAGAAACTGTAGTAAGATGCTGTTTTGAAGTTTGGTAACACCTTGGTTAATTTTGCCAATTGAAATATCCCATCAATGATTTTTTTTATACAATTTCAACAAAAATAGTAGCATGATTTCTATCCAGATTTGCTTATTGCATTGCCCTGATGCAGAACCGGATGTTATGTCAAATGCAGTTGATACTGCATGATCCTTTTAACGTCAGTAGAATCCTTGAAAATATGTCCTATTATATATTCTAAAGGCTCCCAAACTTTCTAGAATCATGTTCCTATTTTCATATTTTAGCAACCCGTATAGCTTGTACCTCTTCACCTCTCATTTAACCCATGCTTCTTTAACCATTATTTCAATCCATGTTTAAAATTAAAAACAATCACATTACATCATGTTTTATCTTAAAATTTAAACAAGTATCTTCTAAGAAAATTCTAATGAAAACATAATGTTAACATTTTGGTTTGTTTGCTTGTTTATTCAGTTTATATGGCCATCCATCTCACATACAAGAAATAAACCAGATTTAATGTGAAGGGTATTGTTTTCTTCACAGGTTGGGAAAACCTAGCTTTTGGAAAACTAGAGTGCACAGCGCAGGATTGTTTCTGACAACCAGTAAATTCCTTTGTTTCATTTTTATTGTGGGTGAAATTGAAAAGCTGCTTCACGGAGTGACATGGGGAAAAAATCATAGACATGATACCTATTGCTTCTTCCCTAACTTTTGAGTAAATTTTAAAATATTTTATTCTAAATTTCTCAAATCTGAATTTTTAAAATTATTTTCACATTCAAATTATATTTTATATCAAATGCTTGTGGGCAGTTAACTGACATCAGTGTTAAAGCATGCTAATTTATGAGTAAGGTCGCCAGAATAGATGTCTGGAAAAATAGCAGATGAATATTGTCTGCAAGACAGTCCAAGTAAATAATTTGGTTGTGCACATCCTCTTGACAGTGTTCATGGTAAGTTTGATTCTCAACAAGTGAGAATTAACAAAATGTTAGGCATCTCAGCTTGTGTTTGATGTTTAAAAGTGGATTCTTTTCTGTTTAAGTTTTAATAATGTATGATAGTATTATTTCAGCTTGAATTACTTTGAAAACATGCTCTGTTTGGAAAGCCATCATATCTCTGAAACAAAGGTGTTTTATGACCTGCTTTTAAATTCATGCAGAGAGCTGCAAAAAATTGTATTTAAAGTGACAATTCTTCACTTGTAACTGTGGATCCTATGTATCATCCATGAACATTTAGCAGACAAATGTTTGCTTGAATTGACTGATTCCCCTCCCTCTCCATAGCAACAAATACAGACTGAGAGCCAAGCTTGCTGGAGCATTATCTGTGCATACAACAACTGTTTTTTTCCAGTACAAGTCCATTGAAAGCCTTTGATGTGATCATAGATTCTGTCAGTAAGTTTTATTTTCACTGTTATTGTTAATTTACTGGTAGTCTTCGACTTACAACCATTTGTTTAGCGATCATTTGAAGTTACAATGGCACTGCAAAAAGTAACTTATGACCAGTCCTTGCACTTATGACCATCACTGCATTCCCTGCAGTCAAATGATCAAAATTCACGTATTGACAACTGGCATGTATTTACAATGGTTGTAGCATCCCGGGATCACGTGATCACCATTTGAAAGCTTCCCACCTGGCTTCCAAAAAACGAAGTCAATGCAGGAAGCTGGATTGGCATAACAACCACATAATTCACTTAAGAACTGCAGTGATTCACTCAACAACTATGGCAAAAAAAGTCATAAAGTCAGGAACAACTCACTTAACAATCACCTTGTTTAGCAATGGAAATTCAGGTCCCAATTGTGGTTGTAAATCAAGGACTAACTATATCAGAACTAGACTAGCAACTGACACCATTTGGTTACCTTTGTGTTACTGTCACACTGAACTATGAAGAACAATGATTTGAACCATTAAGAATTTCTGCTATTGTACAATATGTCATCAATGTGATGTGCCATAGGATTGTCACCAAAATTTCCATTTCTTTTTCTTGTTTTTGGCACCTAATAATAACAATGCTTCAGAAGAGTCTCTTTGCAATCACACATTCTTTAACTTGAACAAGGAGCAATGACAACCTGTAAAATGCTTCTACGACTTTGGTTGATGCTTGATGAAAAGA